TGACTAGGAAGGAGTGGCAGAAACATCCTATTGTGACCAGCTCAAAGGCCCCATGTATTCTCGGCGTAGACTTCCTCCTGAATGGCTATCACAAAGACCCAAAGGGACTCAGGTGGGCTTTTAGAATAGCTGCTGTAGAAGCTGAGGACATTAAGCAACTAAACACCTTACTGGGACTATCAGAAAACCCATCTGCAGCAGGACTTGTGGAGGTGGAAGAGCAGCAAGTACCAATTACCACCTCGACTGTGCACTGCTGGCAGTATGGGGTGAATCAAGATGCTGTGATCCCCATCCACAAAATGATCCATGAGCTGGAGAGCCAAGGGGTGGTCAGAAAGGCCCAATCACTCTTCAACAGTCCCATTTGTCCTGTGTGCAAGTTTGGAGATTGACTGTAGACTATCATGGCTTGAATGAAGTGACTTCACTGCTGAGCGCTGCCATGACAGACATGCTGGAACTTCATACAAGCTCAAGTCCAAGACAGCAAAGTGGTACGCCAATATTGATGTTACTAACGCATTTTTCTCCATTTCTCTGGCCACAGAGTGCAGGCTTCAGTTTGCCTTCAACTGAAGGGGTGTGCAGTACACCTGGAACCAACTGCCCCAGGGGTGGAAACACAGCCCCACCATCCGCCATGGACTGATCCCAGCTACAGTGGAAAAGGGTGAGGCTCCAGAACATCTGCAGTCAATCAATGACATCATTATGTGGGAGAACACACCAGCAGAAGTGTTTGAGAAAGAAGAGAAAATCATCCAGATTCTGCTGGAAGCCAGCTTCGCCATCAAAAAGAGCAAAATCAAAGGACCTGCCTGAGAGATCAAGTTCCTGGCAGTAAATTGGAAAGACAGACACCGTCAGATTCTCACTGAAGTCACCAACAAGATCACTGCAATGTCTCCACCAACCAGCACCAGCAGGCTTTCCTAGGTGCCATAGGTTTTTGAAGAATGCACATTCCAGAATACAGCCCAATTGTGAGCCCTCTCTACCTGGTTACCTGCAAGAAGAATGATTTCCAATGGGGCCCTGAACAGCAATAAGCCTTTGCCCAGATCAAGCAGGAAATCGCTCATGTGGTAGCCCTTGGCCCAGTCAGGTCAGGACCAGAGTGAAGAATGTGCTTGACTCTGCAGCTGGTAACAATGGTTTGTCCTGAAGCCTTTGGCAGAAGGTGCTTGGGGAGATTTGAGGCTGACCACTGGGATTCTGGAGCTGAAGTTATAGAGGTCTGAAATCAACTACACTCCCACAGAAAAGGAAATCTTGGCCGCCTGTGAAGGAGTTCAAGTGGCCTCAGAGGTGACTGGCACAGAAGCACAGCTCCTCCTGGCACCCCGACTACCCATGCTGGTGTAGATGTTTAAAGGAAAGGTTTCCTATACCCACTATGCCACCTACAATCACATGGAGCAAGTGGATTGCCCTCATCACACAGCACACCCATACTGGAAACCTGAATCACCCTGGGATTTTAGAAATAATTACAAACTGGGTGGAAGGTGAAAACTTTAATCTCACTGACAAAAAGGAGCAAGAACAAGTGACATGGGCTGAAGAAGCTCCACCATACAACCATCTACCAGCCAAGGAAACACGCTACGCTCTTTTCAGTGATAGTTCCTGTCGCATTATAGGGATGAAGCAAAAGTGGAAAGCAGCCGTATGGAGCCCCACACAAGTTGCACAAGCCACCAAAGGAGAAGGTAGATCAAATCAACTTACTGAACTCAAGGCCATTCAGCTGGCCCTGGACATGAAAGAAAGAAAGAAAGAAAGAAAGAAAGAAAGAAAGAAGAGAAAGAAAGAAAGAAAGAAAGAAAGAAGAAAGAAAGAAAGAGAAGAAAGAAAGAAAGAAAGAAAGAAAGAAAGAAAGAAAAAAGAAAGAAAGAAAGAAAGAAAGAAAGAAAGAAAGAAGAAGAAGAAGAAAGAAAGAAAGAAAGAAAGAAAGAAAGAAAGAAAGAAGAAAGAAAGAAAGAAGGAAAGAAAGAAAGAAAGAAGAAAGAAAGAAAGAAGAGAAGAAAGAAAGAAAGAAAGAAGAAAGAAAGAAAGAAAGAAAGAAAGAAAGAAAAGAAAGAAGAAAGAAAGGAAAGAAAAGAAAGAAAGGAAAAGGAAAGAAAGAAAGAAAGAAAGAAAAGAAAGAAAGAAAGAAAGAAAGAAAGAAAGAAAGAAAGAAAGAAAGAAAGAAAGAAAGAAAGAAAGAAAGAAAGAAAGAAAGAAAGAAAGAAAGAAAGAAAGAAAGAAAGAAAGAAAGAAAGAAAGAAAGAAGAAAGAAAGAAAGAAAGAAAGAAAGAAAGAAAGAAAGAAAGAAAGAAAGAAAGAAAGAAAGAAAGAAAGAAAGAAAGAAAGAAAGAAGAAAGAAAGAAAGAAAGAAAGAAAGAAAGAAAGAAAGAAAGAAAGAAAGAAAGAAAGAAAGAAAGAAAGAAAAAAAAAAAAGAAGTGGCCAAAGCTATACCTTTATACCAATTTGTGGATGGCAGCCAATGCTCTGTGAGGCTAGCTGTAAAGGTGGAAAAAGGCCAACTGGCAGCATAGAGGAAAACAAATATGGGGTGCTGATGAGTGGAATGACATTACCACTCTGGCAGAGAAGCTACCTGTAGAAATCTGTCATGTAGTTGCCCATGTCCCCAAGAGTCGAGCTAATGAGGTACACCAAAACAAAGAGCAAATAGATCAGGCTGCAAAGATAGAGGTGTCAAAGATAGACTTAGATTTGCAACATAAGGGGGAGTTGCTCCTAGCCCAATGGGCCCAGGATGCCAGGTTATCACTACCTATAATTGGGCATGAAACTGAGGGGTGGATCTAACCAGACAGTATGTCTCAGGTTATCCATGACTGTGAGACATATGCTGAAATCAAGCAGGCCAAGCAAGTGAAGCCCATATGGTGGTGGTCCAAATATAAGTATGGGGAGGCCTGGTAGATTGACTACATCTCACTGCCCCAGACATGTCAAAGTGCTGACCATGGTAGAAGCCACCACTGGATAGTTAGAGACCTACCCTGTGCCTCACAATACTGCCCGGAACACCATCTTGGGCCTGGAAAAGCAAATCCTGTGGTGACATGGCACCCCTGAGAGGATCAAGTTGGACAACAGGACCCATTTCAAGAACAGTCTTATCAACACCTGGGCCAGGGAACATGGTTGAATGGATATCATATCCCTTATTATGCGCCAGCTGCCAGGAAAGTTGAACAGTGCAATGGACTACTTAAGACTTCCCTGAAGGTGCTTGGTGGGGGAACTTTTAGAAATTGGGAAATTAACTTTGCAAAAGTCACCTGGATGGTCAACACCCAAGGGTCCATCAATTGAGCTGGTCCTGCCCAGTCTGAACTCTTGTACACAGTACATGGAGACAAAGTTCCTGTGGTACACATGAAAGGTATTTTAGGAAAGACTGTCTGGATTAATCCTATCTCAGGCAAAGGCAAACCCATCCATGGGATTGTTCTTGCTCCAGGACCTGGTTACACTTGGTGGGTAATGCAGAAAGATGGAGAAGCCCATTGTGTACTTCAGGGAAACCTAGTCTTATGTAAGAACTGTGTGTAAGGATCCATTGGGTAGAGTTTATTGATTTGGGTACAATGTAGATGGTACTAGAATAAGGGGTGGATAATATCTTGGGTTGGAAATGGAAGATGTGGCTTGGGGTGTGTATTCTATTGCCATCTGTTAGAGGTGGAGCTGTTAACTTCTGTTAATTTGACCACCTGTTAAAACCAGGTGGGGCAGTTTTCTTTATCTCTTCCACAACCAATCCTCCCTCCAGAAAATATCTTCCGTTAATGGACCATTGAGTCTTACTTTGTGACTGATAAAATTACATCATCCCAGTGTGAAATGCTCCACCCAGGGGGAGGAGCCAAGCATTCCTACCTGGATATAATCTGAGATTTGAAACACCAGAGTCAGCCTTTCCACTGGATTCCCAGAGGAAGACCAGGCCCATCTTCACCACCACTGGATCTTCAGAAGAAAACTACACCCTTCTACAGGATCACTGCTTTCAAAAGAACCATATCTATCACTCAAAGATAACTGCAGCCACCATTTAATCAGACTACTACCACCACCCTGACTGACAGTGAGTCAGGTCATATTCTGACTCTGTCAGTGTTGTTTTGTATTACAGCATTTTTATTTCACTTTTATTTTTTCCCTGATAAAGAACTGTTATTCCTACTCCCATATCTTTGCCTAAGAGCCCTCAATTTCAAAATTATAATAATTCAGAGAGAGGGGGTTTACATTCTTTATTTCAAGGGAGCCTCCTGCTTTCGTTAGCTAACACCTGGCCTTTCAAACCAAGACATCATACAATTTAGATTTTCCTTCTCTCATAACCTTATGTCCACAGAGCTCTTCAGTCTGCATTTCCCAACATTCAGATCAGAACAGAATTAATTTCTGTCAAACTATATACTGAAGTAGAAAATATTTTGGTCTTTATTTTTTCTCTCTTTTTTTTTAACATTAAAAAATGTGGGAAAAGCATCTAGATCTCTTTTATTGTTAGCAAGAGAAAACTGGCCAAGCACTGAGGAGAGGAAATTCACAGCAACATATTGATGTTGTAAGTAAGGGAGGGTCAAGGTTATTGGTATTATTACTGTTTCTTCTTTGAGAGAGTTCTTCTTTTAAGGTGAACTTTAAGTTTTATCGAAATATACTAGGAATTTGACTTTAATATCACACTACTCCTCTTATAAAACAAGTCTTGATGAGTTTCTGTTCTGATTTGCCAGAATTTCCTTCCAATGTTTAAATAGGTTCCTTTCATTGCATGCTATATTGAGGGTCTTGGGTCAGGGATTAATGTATAATTCAGTTTTCCCTTTCTAGTATTTGCCCGTCCTTCTTTCAAGGTATAATTTTTTTACTGTCATTTACAGTGTGGTCATCTGTATTCACTGAAGCAGAGATTCCACATAAATCTTCCCCTCACCTGCTTGACTCTGCTTGTGTTTCTGCTCAGGTTTCATTGATTTCATTGTGGAACCCACCTTTACTGTGCTGACCGACATGGCAGAGAAAATTGTGACTCCGCTAATTGATGAAGCTTCCCTCTCCGGCATGTCTGGATTTAGGCGTTCCAGGTGAATAACCTTGCACCCTGTCCCTTCATTCTATGAGTTGCCATTGCAGTCAACTGCTCTGATTTCCCCCTCTTCAGTGTATGTCTTTCTTGTGGCTTAAAGACCCATATCTGCATTGTCAACACTGCAACTCACCTCGTGAGGTAACTTTGCGCAGGGAAAGTGCAGCCTGGAGGAGGTCCAAGAGGGAGGAGGGTGGCATCAGCCTGAGTCATACCTTCTAAGGCAAGGAGCACAAATGGTTGTAGCCATGCAATCAGATACACTCTCAGTGCTCTCTTAGTCACTGTCAGAGAGAATGTAATGAGAGTAATTGGGAGGAACTTGTTTCTCCACACCTAGAAGTATGAATGGGATTGAAACAGAAATGGTAGCTGGAAAGAATAAGCACACTTTTGTGACAGTATGTAAGGTTATGCAAATGTGCAAAGAACCACAATTCACCTGGAGTTTAGGTGTAGGAAATCTTGGACCATTCAACCTGTACTGCCGTTTTTGAGATACTACACTTTTAGTAGTTTAATTGACAAGGCATGTCTTGGAATTCAAATGCCACATGGCTAGTGATCCCTAGAGTAGGGCTATCAATTCAGGATTCGCTCTCCCAGGTGACTTTGCTCTTGGGCAAACAAAGACCAAACACTAATATCTTTCTATGTCAGTAATCATGCTGTCTTTGTTAAAATGTTCACAATAAAGCATCAAAAGTCAACTGTAGGATCTGTAAGAGAAATGAATGCCTAAGCCTCAGGTGAGATCCCCAAGCCCTTGACAGAGATTTACCTGTGCCTAATACATGCCATTGGTGAAATTTAGCAGACTCCTTCTGTGACATATTTGATTCCTAGAATTGGCTGACTCTCCAGTAATATTTAGGGAGTGGAGATACACAAAAAAGTAGTTACAGCACTTAGTGAGAATGAATGCCAAAAAATAAGAGGGGGAAAAGCAGCCCTTTATTTCTAATACTGGCACAGGTTGTACTCTTTACTTTAACATTGGTTGTCCTGGGGTGGGAGAGATGGGAAGGATAAGGGATTCAAGCTTAGTTTTTCCAGGGTAGCTCTGTTATCTGACTTTCAACCATTATTCTTTCTTAGCTGTATTTGAGCGTATGGGATGCTAATTTCTTCTGTGTTTTGTGATACTGTGTCCTAGTTTGAATAGCATTAGTCACTCTGAAGTAAAAAGATCAAGTGTCAAGAGCACTGGGTCCGAAGGAAGTGCCTCACTCAACTGTTCCGTACTCACTGTGGACTTCAAATGTTTTAAAGCCACCTGGACTGAGGTGGTGCAGCAGAACAGGGAGAAATGGAAAGCACAAGCCACCAAAGGTAACAGCCAGGCTTCTTAGTGAAAGAATAAAATTCTGTTGACCTCTTCTTCCTCAAACTCATCTTCAGTCTGACCATTCTCAAACTGTTAGTTTGAAAGAATCCACCTATTGAGTTCAATAACCCACTCTGAATTCAGAAAGATAGGAACATTGTGACTCATCTGTGCCTTATATTCTTCTTATACTGTGTAAGTGTACATAACAAATAGAATGTGAACAATGGGAAGAGAAAAAAATTTAAAGGGAATTCCCCTAAAGTCACAGATCAGACTCAGTGGGTGCAAAAATAGTTGGAATGGTATTTGTAAATCTAGATTTATCTATATTTATAGATAAATATAGATATAGATAAATATAAAAATATATAGATAAAAATAGATAAATGTATTTATATATTTATTAATTGTTCAGGTTGCAAAGAGGTGGTACTTTTAGAGATGGGTGGTAGTTGGGGGATAGTTCAGAGGGGAAGGACAGAATATTCACAGCTGGTTTCATATTTCTGGTGATAACTTGGAAAATTAATTAGGAAGTAAGCTGAAACTGTGTGATGTCATCAGTCTGGGAAGGACTGCTAATATTTCAGAAGAATATGAGGGCTGTGTTGGTTGAAGGTTGACTAAGGTTCAATACTGTCATGAAACTGAAAAACATCCTGACCAACATCCACCACTGAAAAAAACCAACCAACAAAGCAAAGCAACACTCCCCACATACACACACTAAAATCTCCTCAAAAGACTTTGCTTCTAAGACCCCTTTGGCATTCTTATCACCTTTTCAGCAGTGATAAGGCCCTCAGTGTTATTCTGTGTCCAGTTTTGGCCACCGCAGTTGAAAAAACATATGAACTAGTTGTAGACAATGCAGAGTACAGCAATGAAAATTATGATAACTTGTTTATAGCTAAGAAAGTGTATAGCTGAAAGCAGTTTTTTGAAGACTACTGAAGCTGCAAAATAAGGAAACTATTTTTTATTCAAATATCCTGGACCATTAAGAGGAGCAACAAGTGGCAGGTTATTATAGACATTATTATAATGTCTAATAAGTTAGACATTAGCAAATCTCTATTATTTGAGATATTTTGGAAATACTGAGAGCCATCTTTTGAGAATTATTTAGGTATAATTTTCCCTCAGCTCAAGGGTATGAATGATTGTGCAAGGTATCTTAGAGCCCTTAGGTGATTTAGATCAGATTTGGAGCAAAAAAAAGAAGGAATAGGTCACTGTTTTTTCTTTTCTCCATGAAACTGTGATACAATTCTCTGATCTGAATGGTTGTTGCTCAATCTCTTATTTAATGGAGTTGTTTTATTTCATATAAATGGAAGGAGTTTGATTTTAATGTAATATGTGACTGTGATTTAGGGATTTGGCACAGTTCTCCAAAGTGTCAGAGCAGATTTTTTTCTCTCCAATTGAAAGACCTGTCTTAAGATTCAGGAAATCATGTATTATTCAAAACAAGTTTTCCTTTGTGATTAAAACTTGCCATTAAGGAAAAGCACTTCATGGGCATTCCATGAAGATGAAAACAAAAGCATAATTTAAAATATTTTTCCCAGGGAATTTTTTTTTTTGGGTTGTTTGGCTTTGGTGCTTTTTTTTTGTGCATTTTTTTTTTCCTGGTGTGTGTTTTGGGGTATTTTTTTGCTTGTTTTTGTTTTGTTGTGGGTTTTTTGTTTGGTTGGTTTTGTTTGTTTTTTTGTTTTATTTAATATCTAGCAGTTCCCTATGGACCAAATTAAAGCTAACCAAAAAGGCAAAGCATGTAACATGTTCAGTGTCTTGCGATATAAAAGTGATGAGTGAATGAAGTTACAATACAGGTAACTAGTTTTAAGAATTTAATTTCACCATGTACCATATATATTTTCTTGACTAAGAATAAACAGTATAAAAATCCTATGTGCAAGACAGACTTGTGAGGGACTTTTACATAATTTCTGTGTTTCTAGGTACATTTAGCAGTACAAGCATGCATATTTTTAATATCCTGAAAGAGTTATACAAACATACAACCCAGAATACCTTTGTATGGGATAAGGACTAATTAACTGGTTTTGCACTCCACTTGCAGTATCTTTGCTCAGCTGCTATTTTCTATTGACTTGCAGCAAGCTTCTGCATCACCCTCCTTGCCTGTCTTGTAGCAAGGCCTACCACACAGCAGAGGCTTAAATTGCTGACCCTTGACAAACTGGTGTCTTGCAGTCAAGATGCATTGCCAATAAAAACAATTATTATTAAGAGAATACAGGATCATTTACTGTTTTTTGACAGCAAATAGTAATTGGGGATCAGATAGGAAGGAACCTATTAGTGCTATTTTTGTAGCTAATACTATAATAAATTATTTGTAAAATACTGTATTCCCTTTTGGTAATGGCACTGTCCCTAGAAGCCTCAGTGAGCTGTTTTTAACCTATGATATTTATAAAAATTCCTCATACTGTGTGATAAAATTGAGATCATTACCGACTGGGGTTTTTTTGCCTAAATGGTAATGATGAAAGAGCAACAAACAAAGGAACTGAAAAAACAAACACTCTAATGTACAAAGCACCATTTAGATTAAGTATTTTCTGACACTACTTTTGACAAGAGACACTTGTCCAATGATGTTGTAGCAGGCAAAATTCTCCTGAGACAAAGTTCTGTCCTGTGGTTCAGGTGCAGAATAAAGCTTTTTTTTCAGATCTCCAAATGAGAGGAATCCTTCTGTATGCCATGAGACCCCAAGATTAGCTCAGTTGTTTAGAGCCTTAGCTTGATCTCTGTATGGCTCATTCACTTAAGAGTTGCATTCTATGGATCCCTTCAAACTCAGAATATTCTGTGAAATCTGTGAGACATCCCTACAGCCTTCAGTAGCTAGTATCTCTTTTTGCCATTCAAGAATTTTGAGTTCACCTTTTCAAGGTGAACTTTAAATGGGAAGAAAAGGACATACACATAAAATACATTTAGGACAACCAGGGTTGTCCCCTGAAAACCAGTTGTTTTCAGAATATTTTGTTAAATGTCCTCTTATGTTCTTTTTCCATTGTCAGATCAGTTCCTATATTTATCTAAGTAAATTTGTTGCATGTGAAAAGCTGAAGTAGATTTAGATATGTGAGTTGTTCTTGTCAAATTTACTGATAGCTGTGACTTCTTTCCTTGCTTGGCTGCTCTCTTTGCTGAGGATGCAGAAGAAAAGGCTAAGAGAGAAGCAGAGGAAAAAGCTTATCAGGGAACAGATGAAAAGGAAAGAGATGAACATGATGGGAAGCCAGGTGAAGATGTCACAGAAGCAAAGACAGAAAAGAGCAAAGAAGCAAATCCTGGGGAAAGCAAAAGGACAGATTCCAGTAAGAATCCTGTAAATGGCACTTGGCAAAGTGGTATGAGCCAACATGAAGCCTATCAAGGGAAAAATGCAGCTAGGACAGATAAGAAAATGGATCCTCATCATACTATGGGAGAAGAGAAACAGCATGTCCAGAATGGTGAGTTCTCTTATTCCACTGAAACATAAATCCAGCCCTAAAACCAGTAACTCACTTTAGTGATAGGGGAACCTGATGTCCTGAAAAAGCATTCCTGGGCCCAGAGTCTCTTCCTGAACATACTCATAGTCACCTACATATGGGAATCAGAAACTAAATTAAATTCCAAGTAGTGTTCTTCTGTAGATGGGGTTCACCATCCTTGCTTGGAAAAAGGAAAAATTAGTTTTTTTATGGAACTGAAGTAGCTTCTTATGATACAGACCATGGAAAGCTGAAGCAAATAACCTGCTTCAATGAACATTGTCATTGCTTGAGTAACTGATAGGAGAAGCCAAAGTTGGCTTCTAAACTCATTTTAAAGCCAATTAAATGCATCTTTGATTTGAGCCTCAGATCAAAATATGTTTTGGAACAGAGAATTTTTCTCCACCCTTTTTTTAGGATTTATTTCATCTATCCTTCCTTTGTTCAGTTTATTTTTTATAAGGACAACCACTAGCCTTTATTTTTTGAGGGTTGTTTTCACAAAAATTTTATTCCAGTTTTTCTAACTTGCTGTGGAACTGAGTTAAAATAAGAATCCCATTCTGCACCCAAAAAAGGTGGGAAAAAAATCCATTACACATGAAAAAAACTTATTAAACCCAACAGAAGAGATCCCTTGTCTCCTGGCCATTACACTGTCCTTTCCTGCACAGCTCCTGCACCCTGGAGCCAATATCAAAAAATAGCATTACAGCCACATGGGTCTTGTCACAAACTTGGCTAGTATCATGCAGTCCAAAATCAGCAGTAAAACCACTCAGAAGCCTTCTTTTAGAAAAAGACTGAATGGACATTTAGGCTTTGAAAGTCCAGGCTCAAGCAGTGAGTTTAAATGGCAGGAGATGCAGAAATTCGGTTTAAAACATTCCTGATATTACTCTTAGGGTTGCTGACCCAGTAATTCCTTTGTAATTAGGGTTTTTTTTAGAATGGAAGGGTTGTGGGATCAAAGCTGTCATTCTCTCTAATGTATGGGATGTTTCTTCAGACAGTGTTACATGTGTGAACATGAATGGGCCCCTCAGGAAGACAAAAATGTCAGGGACATATGAAATGTGTCTGCACCAGACTTTAGACCGCACCAGACTTTATTTCTGCAATCTTTTGTTTTGCATGCTTCTAGCAATATGGGAACTAAGTGTGCTCTAGTGATTTTGCTAGTACTTTTTTCGACAGTCTGTCTCTGCTGCAGGTGTCAAAAGTGCTCTGAAAGGAATTACAATGATTTCTGAAAATTATTGTCTTCCTCAGGAAAAGAGATTCTTCTCCTTTATTTATGGGATAAGGCCTTTATGAGGAGCAATCACTGCAGAGTCTCTGGGGGACTGATGAAATCTTAACATTCGTATGTCTAGATTTACCACAGCTTCCTTTATGCCTACATGTTAATATCTCATCTAATATATTTGTCTGATTATTTCTCTGCCTCTGTAATCCCTTTTAAAAAGATCATTATGATCATTATTCTGCTCTGCTGCTGGCTGGGTAGATATTACATTACTTAAAAGTCCCCTTTTCATAATATTCACTGAAAGTTCAGAAATTGTGTTATCCAGTGAGTTTAAAGTCTCTCTGTCATACACAGCCTTGTGCTTTCTCTGAGAGATCAAACTCTGAAACAGTGCATGTGTAGATGTTCAGCATTTTTTCCTGCACACACTTAGGGTCAAGCAACTTTTTTATGCAATGGTCAAAAAAGGTTTGTTAGCTCATCATTATCATCAGCTGTATGATGGTGGAAGAAATGCAAGAGTACTTTTGTGCATATTAGTTTCAGTTGAAGACTACGCCCTTTTTTTTAAGACCACCTTAATCAAACAGACACGTAAACTCTGTTGGATCTGCTCATAACCTCTCTGTACGAAGACCCCAAGTCAGCGGCACTCTGATCAGCTGAGGAGGGTGCTGCTTGTCCTGCATCATCTTGCATTCTTTTTTTTTTCACCCACACAGTGAGCTTAGGAAGAGAAACATGAAAAATTTTGAATAAAAACTGAACAGAACATGCTTTAGTTCCATCTTGTTAAATATTTTAGGATTTGAAAATAATTCTTCTTTTATACTATGATGAAACGTAATTGGAGAGAGAGATTGATCCACTACCGTCCAAGAATAATGAATATGCTAATGTTAAGGCACATTGTGGAAGAGGGAGACCTCATTTCTCTACTATTTTTCTTTTTTTTCAGCTGTTCCAAAAATAAATATCCACTGCCCATGAGTATTTGGAAGGCAGATAATATCCTCTTTAACACTTAATACCTTTAATCTTGATCCAAAGGCTAGGAAGTAGTTATAGTACCAAAAATAGTAATACAAATGGAATAAGCATCACTGTAATACAGCCTGACATGTAAAAAATTCTGAAGTGAGACTTTTACAGCTTTTTGTGTTGAGGTGTGCATCACAAAAGGAGAAAGACCCTTCTTGCTGTTTGGATACTTCAGCTGAAATAGCTCTGTTCTGCTACAGCTTTCCATTTAAGTTTTTATTTGATCTAGCATTCAACATTCTTTTTCAATGAAGGGATGGTCTGGTAAGATCTGATGTGCTTTGCTGTATGGCTAATAGAGGACCAAAAAATGAGTCACTCTTGGTTGACATTCCTAGCTTCATAAAATACACCCCATCTTAAGTTGCTATTTTCATTCTGCATGAGCCATTGCTCTGCCAAAGGCCTTGATTTTTTTGTTTGCTACATAGACTCTAAAGGCAATGATCAGTGCTAGGATGATTGTTTCCTGATACCAACACAAATGAATCGAGGATAAAAGGAATCTGGTAAGAGAAAATAAGGCAAAATTACATAGGCATGTTAAGGGTATCTAGGATGGTTCTTTAAAACAGACAGTTATGATGAAGCCTTGCAGGTTCTCATTTCTTTTGAAAGCATGAATGTTTCAGACTCTGAAATGAAGCTTATGATCAAGTTTTTAATGGCCAACATACAGTCAGAGGCATTGTGAGTTTGCATATAACTTTAAAAGGTTTTGATAATTAGAAGAAATTTATAAGTGGATTTTAAAACTTGCTTATCTGTAGGACTTGGATCCATGTTTTCTGGGGCTTTGTTCTATGGAAATATGTTAATTAAGTTCTTTTTGAACTCAGACCTTTCCTTCTAAGGAACAACATCTCCATTGGTGTTGCAATTTCATTGAGTTACAAGCATTAAAATGCACTCTGCATGCATTAAAATGCATTAAATGTTTCTTATTGCTTCTTTCTAGGTGAATCAAAGGAAGACAACAAATTGGACAGAAAATATAAGTGTAGTGTGGGGGATGAATCAAAGAAAACAGATGGTAAGGACAACATTTTATTGCATTTTTGACCTCTATTTTTATATGCAATCTGTTGTTTCCTAAACATCTCCAGTTTATTCTAAAACTAAAATAATTGTATGGTAACCAGAAACAAACTTAAACAAACAAGCCAGAAACAGTCATTAGATTTGAAAAACGCCATTGAAGCATTATGAGGGAAAATCATTCCTTTCACTTAATGCTTAGTACTACTAAGTTCTGCTGGTAAGCCTTATCCATCAAATTTTTTGCAGACCCTGAAAGAAAAATCCTGGATTATTAGAGTTGCTTAATAGGAAAAGCAGATTTGTGAGATTCTATCCTTCTGACTTTGTTCTGGCTGTATTCTTCTGTCTGTAAGAACAGGACACATTGGACACGAAGAAAGCAGACTGAAAAAAAAATGCTGCACAAGAGATTCTATTAAGGATGTATTGAAAAGGGAGACTACTGAAACATTTTTAAACTGTAGCAATCCCAAGCCATAGGATGGTTTCATGGGCATCTGGGAATAATTTCAAGTGAGTCTGAGCCTAGTGTAGAGGTCCACAGCCTCAGCAGTTTGGAAAAACATCTCTAAGTTCTGCAGTGTGTTTATACTTTTGCACTTCCTCACCTGTGTACCACAGGCCCATGAGACGGTATTTGAACCTACATTGCTTCAAAGACTATTGCTGAATTACTAGGTAGCAAAATAAATGCAAAAAATTTTTTCTAGCATTTTCTTTGTGCATGTATCAGTGAAATTCACTTAAATGTAACTATTCCTAAGTAAGTATAATACAGCACTTTGTTTTGATAGTCAAAACAATCAAAATTATTTAAATTCCTACTGCCCTAGCAAAGTGGTAAGTAGGAAGAAAATATAATAACTCAACTAAACACATAGAAAATTTCATCTAGAAGCATGTATTAATTTCAGACACATAATCATGTACTTTTTCTTAAGAGGACCCTTAGTAATAATTATTTAAAAAATCAGCTCTTTTAAGAGGTCATGTTACTTATATACTTGAGTTAAATGTCTGTCAGGAAAAAGTCTCGAACAAGTACCAATCACAGCTCTTACTGCAGTCATGCAGAAACTGAGTCTAAATACTGAAATAACATGTGACTCTTCAGCTTTTCAGGAGTATGTGCAGTTCCATATGTAACTATCAAGACTCCAGAAAGATCAAGGGGTAGAATGACTGCTCTCCCTACTCTGATGGGTGGTGGCTGAGCAGCAGCTACCCTTGTGCTGGAAGGGTGCTTCCTTGCAGGACCAGGTGAATGCAGAAACACTGGTCCAGAAACATGGGCTTTTTAGGAGGACTCAAGAGCACCAGCTCAGCCAAGAGAGTAGACCCATGACTCTCTAACTTTGAGGAAAAGGTTACATTTGAAGGCCTTCACTCTCAAGGTCTTAGAAAGATTAGGGCCACATATTTATTTGGGCTTGAGGACTAAGAAATGAATGTGTCACAGTAACTTAAGATTGAAGATTGAGGATGTAAATTTGGTCTTTGCAAGTTGCTTATCTTTGGTGTTATTTATGGTCATTATCTATTGTCCTGTAGGAGATAGCTAAGTTAATCTCTTTAGGGAAAAGACTGGTAACCACGGGACCAATTGATTACAGTGAATAAGCAATTCTAATAATGCAAAAACAATTTGTAGGTAGACTGCTTCTGTCATTCAGACAGTGTAGAGGCAGATTATAGCTAATTATCTAATTGATAAAAATCAGTAAAAATACTGTGAATTATGCACCTTAGAAAGAAAAACACTGGAATGGCACTTCTGCTTTGCCAAATACTGCATAACCTGTTCTATCCATTACCCACTCCAGAGCGAATGTCCTTACCAGCCATGTGAGGGCTGTGGAGAAAGGAACATTATCCATGGACAATACACAGCTATTAGCAGACTACTAAAATGTTTACTTGAACATATGCTTTTTCTTGTGCTAGTGCATGGTCTTTCACATGTCACATGCTGGAGAAAAGATTAAAGAATTAGAAAGATTGAGATTATGGCTATAATGTGCTCACCACATGTAATGAAACTCGGGCAGGTGAAACTCAGCCTGGACTTTTTTCAGGGTCAAAGGTACTTGGGTTTTAAAACCTCTGTTCTGTGTGTAGCTGGGGAGTATTTGTATTAAACAGGCCCATTTGTGTATGTTTAAAATAAAAGCTTTAGCTTTCTCACCACTAGCTTTTTGCATCAGCTGAAGACCTGAACTCAACTGACAACACTCTGTCCTACTGCACGGGCATCCTGCACTCAGAAAAGAAAGCTGCAGACAGTATTTTGCATAAATCTTTGTAGGATATGTATCCAAGTTGCTTTTTAAATTATATACAAAGGAAGCTATTGTAATATCTACTTATAGACATACATACATGCCAAAATAATTCTAATATGCTTGTCCTTCTACTACATGGGGAATCTAGTGACTAGTCTTCTTCTCATGTTAATCTGATCCTCATATTATTATTGTTGGTTGTTTTTTGGTTTGGTTTTTTTTCCTGCTGGAGATAATTCTTGTTACCCACTACTGCCTTTTTTCTCAGTTTCAAGAAAATAAATATGGGGATGCCATTTCACAAATAAAGATACATATCTGTCAGAAACATCATCAGCACAAGTGTTTCCTGTGGGATAGAACATTGTTAAACCATTTTGGAAAACTGAATTTTCTCATGTGAAATCATTGCTTGGAAAGTCTTTCAATGGAAAATTATAAGCAGCCCATGGACATAATTTTTCTTTACATTCCAAACTTTTTTAAAAATAATATTATTTTCTAATAAAACTAACAGCAAATGAAAAAAATATTCTTCCCCATTACAGACTTTATGTAAAGTAATTTTTTACAGTAATCGTGGCAAACTACTGGAACATTATCTCCATTGAGGTGGTAGAAACCTCATTCCTGGAAACATTCAAAGTCAGGTTGAACAGGGCTCTGAGCAACCTGATCTAATTGTAAATGTTCCTGCTCATCATTGGGGTGTTGGGCTATATGGCCTTTAAAGGTCCTTTTTTAACCCAAACTATTCTGATTGTATGATCCTATGATTGACACTTTCACAGGCAATTTCTACCACATCCTCATTTTTTTTTTCCTTACTGGGAAAAGATTCTGCAATGTTAATGCAAAGTTTTCAGTATAACTTCTTGTTTTGGGGAAAACAGTCAATTCAATCACATATTACTCTCTCAGGTACCAACTGTAGATAAATATAGTTCCCTTTTTGTGTGTTTGTCCTAGGAACTTATTACTCTAGTGGTAATGCGCACTTTTAGCATGGAAATATACAGGATGTTTGCATCTTCAACAGCTGGTAAATACAGTGAAAGCCTAATGTGCTCTGGCTATGTGATGAGCAGTACTGCCACCTCATGGTCAAATGAAAACGTGTATTTTGACAGATCTGCTTCAGTACTGCATTCTTCTATGCAGTGCAACACACTAGAATAGAATATAGTCACTATAATATAATGTAATATAATGCTAGATGTAGACTTTTTAATATATGGACTATATTTCAGATACGGAGGTTTTAGCTTTCTTTATTTTGTTTTTTTTTTAAGATATAATGTTGCTTATAGGTAGTTAAAAGCTTTTCCTTTGAGTTCTGTACATTGCCCATGCCAACATGTAGAGCTACCTTTCAGTCTTAATTTTTCTTGATAATGATTTCTTGATCAGGAAGTGAAAATTTCCCTGATTATTAAGTTAAAGCCTTCATTTCTTTCTATCCCAGTTGTCCCACAAATAAAGTAGCAGAGTAGCTCGCACAGAATGTTATCTGACAATGCCTTTGGTATAGGAACATGGTCATGAGAAGACACCATGATAAGGTCTCTACAATTATTCAGAGACAGTTGAATTAACAGGATTCTTCCCGGCTTCATTCGTCAAAACTTCTCAACCATTGAATATTGACTGTCTTTGCAGCCTTCTGCAAGATACAATTTTTGTATGTGTCAATCTAGCCAAGACCACGCCATAGCAATGAGCACTAAGCAGATGTCTGATGAAATCCTGCTTATGTAATATTCATGATTCTGATGTTGTTTTAAAACAGCTTACTCAAACATATAAATAAAGAGCATGTCTATGTCTCCTTGAGAGAGGTAAAAAGGTAAATTACAGGTCATATAAATACTGGTGTCATTTCTAATTCTGCTTTGAAAGATAAACTGATCTCTCCATTATTGTCAGAAGCAAAAAATCCATTTCAGTTTGTAAGGCAAAGACATTCTATTTTTCCTTGCTGCTTGATAGTGCTCTGCATATTATGTGTCATAATCCAGCAGCACAGGCAAATTGGAATGACTGTAGTCTAAGTCTACTTACTAAAGACAATTTCTTTCATTTTCTCACTTCTTTTTTTATGGCCTGTTACCTGAATTACATTAACAGCTATGGCTCCAAGTTACAAATCAGAAAGACTTGTTAGGTTCTGGAAAAACTTGTTTGAAACATGAAGGAATTCTGCCTTCCCAAAAGACATATTTCACTGTAATCTATCTCTGCTGAGCAATTGTTCCATAGTATTGCAGTATAGGATAGGAGGGGGGTGGAATAGTTTCTGTGCTTTTTTGAAAGAAACCGTTTGTATAATTTAGCAAGTGGCACTAGAAGCAAGCTGGAATTTGCATAGAAGAATGCATTCTGAAGAAGGTTTTATGTGGTTTAATAGCAGATAAACATGATCTTTGATGCTAAGTGCAAAATACATTGTTAGTATCTAGACAGGGCAAATAGTACATCACCAGGGTATGCCTGCTTGGTGAGAATATACGGAATATGTAGAAAGGTATCCTTTATAATTATGCAGATGATTTTGCAACATTTTCGTTTTGTGTGTTTGTAAGTCTTACAGAAGGCACCTGGTTTTCCTTTGAGACTTTCATGTGTCTCTTGTTTAGCCTGCTTTTTATTACTCATAGGAGCCTAGATACATGGTCATTAAGATGCTGATTGCTTTTTGAATCTACTTTAT